CAGGTGTTTTCCAGGCCTAATCTACTGTGATCAAGAGCCATTATGGCTCTTAAATGTGATCGAAGATGATTGCTATTTTTTGGGTGTACATATAAAGGCTATCAACTCGATGTAAGATTAAGTTCACTCTTAGCTTGGACTGTTTGCAAATTATTTTTCTCGAAAATCACGTAGTCGTTCCCTCAAAAGTCACATGAATGTGCTCTAAAGTTAACTGATTTGTGGAATACAAGGTTATTGTTTGATTTGAATTATAAATTCGAGTTAATAGGAGCTTCGCTTTTAGCCCTGGCTAAATCTATATATTATTTATTGTCTTTTCCAACCTTGTTTATGGAAGTGAGGCAACTGGAGAGAAGGCCGAATTTAATTATTTTCCGATTTTTATGGAATATTTCGTCAAGGATGCTGGAATCTATAACTAACTAAAATGAAAATGTAGAAAACAATAGTTGAGATTCCAAAGAACATACGAAAACAATTTATTAATATACCGTAAAATTCCGAAAATAAGCCCTGGAGCTTATATTTTTCAAAGGCCCTGTTTGAGGGGCTTATTTTTGGAGGGGCTTGTATTCGGAGGGGCTTATCTAAGCAGGGAAATTTGCTTTTCAAAATCGATTGAGCTAGCCTTATTGTTGGAAGTAAATTTACCTTTTTTTGCTTTGTCTTACTTTGTATTTGAGGGCAATTTTCCGAGTACAAGCCCTCGGGGGGGCTTATATTTGGAGGGGCGATTTAACGCAGGGGTTTTTGCGTTACCGGTTTGGGGGGGGGGCTTATTTTTGGAGGGGCTTATGCATGAAGGGGCTTATTTTCGGAATTTTACGGTATCACAGAGAAGGGAAGTAAGCCGTTAAATACACTTTTTCTTGAGGGTGTACCTGATGAAAGACAGAATGTAGCCTGTTCCAGGCTCCGGGACTGAGTCGCTCCGCACGCCTTTCACCGCTTCATCCCTACTATCTGAGAGCCTGGAACAGGCTAAAAAAGACGCTGCTAGTATTTTTAGTCTTAAAAAGATTCATCCTCAGGGAACCAGAGACAGCGCAGAGGGTATACGTAGTAATTACCGGTGGGCAAGAGTTTAAAAGCAGACGGAAAGATTCCCTGGGCACTTAATCTAGACCAAGCAGCTGCAAGAGCCTTTGATTTTGCAACTTCTATTTTATACAGGTATTTTTCTAGCAAATGAGCTAAGGCCAACTCCCTTGTCGATTTCGTGTGTTCTTAAAAGGAGGATTTTTTGTCATCAGTCGCCTCTTTTATGATGCTTGTTCCGCGGAGAAGTCGAAAGATTTAATATGCCCCCAAGAAAGTATTTCATTCGATTCGATTGGGTTTTACAATACGTTTTGCTTTAGTTCTCTTCGTTGTCGCGATTTTGTACCAGAGGAGATGGCTGATATTCTGGGCAACCATTGCACAGGCGGCTCGGGCTGCTCGGGCGGCAAGGGATAGCATAGTTGGCTTGATATCAATCTCCTGCTTCAAGCTATAATCTGATCAGTATACAAAGAGCAAACGAATCGAAGGAATTTGAAATAAAGTAAAATATTCTCACTGCATACATAATTGGGCGGTGACGCGGGAATTAAGTAACTCTTTTAAATTCCGTGGTGTTGGGCCTGCGCGCTCCTGGCATGATGCATTGCGGCCCTTGGTTAGAGTTGCTTAGTTTTTGCCCGCCTCTTGGCTAGTTCAACGGGGTTCAGTGGAAGCGACTTAGAAGTTTCGTCCCTCCCACCTCCCCTGGTGGCGGCTGACGTCGCTTACTCTCATTATTCGGCATGCCTATTATTCTGGCAGTCGCGGCAGTCGCGGTTGCCTCCCTTAACTTAGTTCCCCGTGTCAGAACACTAGGTATGCAATGCGAATATTATACGAATCACATTTAAGCTGAAAGTGATACAATATGACTTTACCGAATTTTTAGCATATAAATGATTCCTCAAAATGTAAAAGTTTTGTTATTTGTTTGACTTTCAAAAAATCTGTGCCAGATATTTAGGTAAAACATTAAGCGCAACGAACAACAGAAGCATGTTGATCGATGGCTAAAATAAATCGTGCAAAGAATACATACGAAAGGGAACCGTCATGATTAGTTTTTTTATTTGTATCGCAGGTGCATTTGATAAGAGCAGTTTGAAAGATGGCGAAGGTGCAACGGAAACAAAGAACTTGTAAACTGAGAGGAAACATGTTCAAGTTGACAACTACTGTCACAGCTGTACATA